ATAAATAAAATCTTAAAAAAAAAAGATTTATTTATTTAAGAGAGAAAGAGTGTGTGCACACGAGGGTGGGCACACCGGGGGAGGGGAAGACGGAGAGAGAGAATCTCAAGCAGACTCTGTGCTGAGCGTGGAATCTGAGGCAGGGCTCAATCTCACGACCCTGAGATCATGACCTGAGCAGAAATCAAGAGTCAGACATCTAACCGACTAAGCCACCCAGGTGCCCCAATAACATGTTACTTCATTCACGAAATTTTCAAGTATAAATGCATTACCCCAACCGCATTATGGAGCCCTGTCCCTCAGACCCACCCCTCGGTGCCCTAAGGGTGACCCCACTACCCACTGGCCTTTCTCTGATCATCCCAAACTGTCCCCTTCACTTGGGGCACAACCCACCGGATCCAGTCTCTACGCAGCACCTTTCCTCCCGGTCCTCTGCTTTGTGTCCTTCACGTTCTCTTCAGGGTAGGCACACGTCTTACTGATCCTTGTACCACCCACGTAAAAGAGGCCTTGGCTGGCACGGACTCTTTCCATAACCATCACCAACCCAGACACCAGGGTTGCCACAGCCACCGGCCAAGAGTCCCCGCCTCCCCCACACAGACCTGGGCACCCGGGGCCCCACGGACTCATGTGCACTCCCTGCCTTGCTTGAGGCCAGGCCAAAGCCAGCACTTCCGAAACACATCTCCCTGAGGAATCCCACACGTCGGTGGAACACCATCAGCGCAGGAGATCCCAAGTCAGCCGCACACGGCTGGCTGCCGCCTGGCCCCACAGCGGCGCTCGTCCCTACGTCCCGTCCCGTCTCTCCTGCCAGAGACCGCTGTGCTCACAAGCGCAGCGTGCACAGAGATGCCACCGTCAACCAGGGGCAAGGGCTGAAGGCGCACACGCCGGCGCGTCCTCCCCGTCCACGGCACCCATCGGGGATGGGGCTACCACCCTAAGCACGGAGCACACGCTGGGAAGCACACTCAGAGAGGCCGAAGGTTCTGGACGTGGGGACAAACACCCGCGAAGACATGAACTGAACTGTCCTATGTTACAAATCTTGGAAAAATCATGGCTGAAAGAACGAAATAAAGGACTCGTAACCAGAGTCCCTCATCCCAGCGCCTGAGGAGGAGGTTCACGTGGTTCACTCTGCAGAGATGAAACCCAAGGCCCATCTTTCACGGTAACACCCGGAGGAGAAGTCGCAGCCGCAGCCGCACCCCCTCACCCCGCCGCGGCCGCGGGACGTCCACGCAGTCACGGCTCAGCCCGCTCCGGCCATCAGGGAACACAGTTCACTGTAACGTTGAAACAAACTTGCATTCCACCATCCAACCACAAGGCCTCTCATTCTTTTAACTGAAAGGGTTTTTTCCCCACAAGTAACCTACGGATGTTTAACGTGGTTGCTGTAACATCTCAATTGCCAACTGAGTAGTAAGTAGAGAGATGACCTCATGTGTGCAAAACACCCCGAATCCCACAGAAAAGAGATCAAGTCAAGCCCACCAAGGCCCTGGTGAGCACACACACGTCTGAGTAGGGGCCCAGCGGCCTGCCTGCAGGCCCGCCCACCGTGCAAACGCAGCCTGGAAGCACACTCACCTCTCTCTCCTGCACGGGGAGGCCTTGGGCCCGCGGTCCCTGGCGTGGCTGGAGGACGCGTCCCGGGCTGGCGGGGAGGTGCTGGTTTTGGGTGCAGGCTGCTGCCGTGGTGCCGGGAATCCTTCCCCCGCAACCGCTGAACAACAAAGGGATGAGGAAAAGAGACATGGATGCCTTTGGTAGAAAGGCCCCTCCACCAAAACTTAAAATTTACAAACCTTTAAGAGTCTGTGTGGCAATTTCAAAGCATTTTTAAAATACCCGGTTTATATGTCGCTTCTTGGCCTTTTGGCTAAGATCAAGTGTAAAATACCTGGTTTATAAAAATTATGTTTTAAAAAGCTCTAGAAGAAACCTGAGTTTTGATCACCTGGATTCTGCCCCTGCAGGGCTGACCTGACCCCCGCATCCATACGGCAGCGCCCCCAGGGGAGCACCCCGTGACCTTGGGGAGCCAGCGGGGTGCTCCCCCGACCCCAGGATTTGAGGAGGGGGCTCTGGAGGAGGGAGAAGCAGAACCCTGAGACCACCAGGTGTGCCTGGTGTGGGAACAACCCTCCTAAAGGCCTGGAGGCCGAAGTAACCACACGTGGGAACCAAAGCTAATCGGTGGCCGGGGTCGCCCAGCTGCCGAAGGCTGGCTGCCTCCCCTCCAGACGCCTGAAGCCCCGCAGGACTGGGGGCCGCGCCCCTGCGAGTGGAGAGTTCTCTGTGCACATTTACACGTGGGGCAGGGCCCCACGAAGGCCACTCTTGGGCGGAGCGCGGGTAGTGGAGCTCCCAAAGGAGAGACGCAGCCATGAAGCGGACCTTTTATTAAGTGAGTTACTCGTCTATATCTCTGGCATTTCTACGTTGTTTCAACCGTTAACCGGTCTTCTCTGCGCTTCCCAACATCGAAGCCACCTTCCCTCAGAAGCCACCTGGCCTCGCCGACGGCCCCGCTAGCTGAGTGTACGGTTTCCGGTGTGCTTTATGGGGCTCCCACTGGGCCCACCTGGACGGGGCGCTCGGCCTGCCACCACGGCTCCTTTCCGATTTACCTCTTGCCACTTCTTAACCAAGAAACGTAATCTACAAAGAAAACAAAGGACACAAAACATTGGAAACTAGAGCAAAACAGTTGTGAAAAGAGTGGTGAAGATCCAGACGTGACCGACACCCGGGGTCAGACTCGGGTGGGCCCCCGTCTGCGGTGACCGTGGCGCCCCTGCCAACCAGCACCTTCCTGGCCACGGCGCCGCCCTGACGCCCACCAACCCGGGGCCCCAGAGACCCCGGTTCAAAGTCTGCAACACCCGCTCCCTACTGCCGCTGGGGCCACTCGACGGCTCCGGGCAAAAGGAGCAAGATAGCGGCCCTGCTCCCAGGTGTCCTTGGTCACACAGGGAGCAGGGGTGTCAGGGTGAGGAGCGCCAGGGGCCAGTGCCCAGAGGTGCTGCGCTGCAGGGCTCCCTGGCTCCTCCTGGGACGGCGCCTCCGTGGCTTGGCGGACGCCCTTCAGAGACGGCCTTCCTGTCAGCAGCTCCTTCGAGGCACCGCCGCCTCTCTGACCGCGCACCCTCCTGGAAGGCACGTTCTGACTCGCATCCAAACCGCAGCTGCTGAAACTGCTCCGCCCCTTGACAGGAAGGCTGAAGGCAGGGCCTGGGCCGGGTCCCCTGCCCCACATCACATCTGCCAGGTTTCCTGGCACAGGGCGTTCTCTCCAAACATGCAGACTGGACGGATGGATGGACAGACAGGTGGTGGGTGGGTGGTCTGCGGTCAGAACTCAGAGGCGAGGGGACGACGTGCCCTGAGGCTGAGGGCCGAGAGCAGGAGAGCGAGGAGGCCAGGCAGCCTCCCACCTCTGCTGGACCGGACTGGCCGGTGCTGGGTCTCTGCAGGGGCAGGGCCGGGAGGAGTGAGGGAGACAGCCGACGGGTGGGGTCTGAGGAAGGCACCTCGCGGGCATCGGATGGCAGACAGAGCTAACAATTCTTAGTGGGACAAACATTTGTGGAGATTCAGCAAATCTTAAAATTATAACGTAAAACGGATTTTCAGCACTGTTAATTCTGAACAGGTCGAAATTTCAGGGACTCACATTCCTGCCCCCAAAACGACACCCCGTGTCAACAACGCCTAGGGCACTGAGCGGTGCCTGGGGCCAGCGGGACCTCCACGCCCTGCCCTCCTCCAGGGAGAGGGCTCGTGGCCAGGATGAGAGCAGCACATGCGGCCACCACCCCACGCGGGTGACGTGGCCCGGTGGGCCTGGCCCCTTTCATGGAGCGCACATTTCACTAAAATACAGGCAACTGGAGTGTGAAGCCGTGAAATGCAGTTTCAAACTCCGTCAGACGTGCCTGTCGTCAGAAGGAATCCTGGCACGAAGCCCGTAAGGGGCAAGGTATTGTTTTGTGATGAGCAGGCATCCCTCAACCTTAGTTTCAGAAGCTGGGTGACAGTTCTGTGCAACATGGTCTCTCGGAGGCAAGCGTAGCTCAAAAGGGAGCGCCATCGTAGAGGGAGACAGCCCCGAATACCCAGCATGCCTCCCACTCACGAAGATTCGGCGGCGGGGGCCTCAGCGTACCTTAATATCGCGATCACCACCCTGACGGCAGTCCGAAACTTCGTAAAAGGGCGAGATGTGGTAATTTTCTTATCTGCTTTGGAAGGAAATACTCCCAAATGGGCGATCATGGAGAGCGTTTCTTGTTCAGAGTCCTGGAATCCACCAATCAATAGTAAAAGATACTTCTTTTGATAAATCAGAGCTTTTCTGAAGCTTTCTGCTCTCAAATAATGCAGGTACAATTTCTCCATCTGAAAGAAAAAAAAAAGTTAAACAATCCTGGAACAAAGACATCTTGCTGACAGATGCATAGCACGTTCGTACCACTGGGCTTTAAGAAGAACCGGACAGGGGCGCCTGCGACTCTGGATCTCAGGGTCGCGAGTTCAAGCCCCACATGGGCTGTAGAGAGGACTTAAATAAATAAATAAATACATCTTTAAAAAAATTAAACTAAAAAGATGCAGACCGTTTCTCCCTTCAGCAGACTGTTTACAGCAGTAAGCCCTGCGTGACCTCTGTCACCAGGGACAGCCTCGCCGGGCAGACTTGGACAAAAGGCAGACCAGACATGCTTTCCAAGCATCAGAGGAACCCTCAAAGGCCCCGTGAATCTGACCACTAGGTGAGGGGCACACCCGGGGCGGGACGGGGTCTCATCCCCAGGCCCATACACAGAGGCGTATCCTTATGTCCTAATATTCTAACACGCATTTTCCCGCACCCCAGGGGCCAACACAATGACCAGCAAATCCCCGGTCTGGGGTGTTTTCAGGCTGTGGAGACGGTTACCTAATATGAGGTACCTCCAAGCCTGACACCCTTAACTTGTGAGCACAGACACAAGACACCTGGACGGAACGACAGTGGGTTTCAGATGGAAGTGTATTCACTTTACTGCTCTAATCTGAGACGGCTCGACGTCTCCCCACTGCTGACAGACACACGCGGATACACGTGTTGGCAACTATGCTCAGGCGAAGGAGAACCCCACCAGCACGAGAATGCTTTCGCAGCTGCAATGAACAGACCAGGATTCTTAGAAGTACCGACTGTTACACCTTTGTCAGCCTCACGGTATGCACACCACCGAGCGTGAGCCCTGACGTAGCCTGTGGACTCTGGGTGATGACCACCTGCCAGTGCAGGCTCACTCAGGTGTGGGCTGTCAGCACTGGGGGAACAAGGAATACATGGGAACTCTCTGTACCTTCCCCTCAGTTCTGCTGTGAACCTTAAGCTGCTCTAGAAATATAAAGTGCTTGTTTTTTTTTAAAAAAGTGTGAGCGAGCGTGCAGGGGGAGAGGCAGAGGGAGAGAATCCCAAGCAGACTCCCTGCTGAGCACAGAGCCTAACACAGGGCTCAACCCCAGGACCCTGAGGTCATGACCTGAGCCGAGATCAAGAGGCAACCGGGCACCCCTAGAAATATAAAGTCTTGAGAACAGATAAAGGGCACTCAGTGGGTGACACTGTACACGCCCAGCGCAGCCCCCAGGCCCGCGCTTACGTGCACGCCGCAGGTGTTTCCCTCCTCGCGTGCGGCCGGCGCGGGCACTGCTGGGTCTGGCTGTCCTGCTGAGCTCTGCGAGACTGCCCCATCTTGCTTCCACGCAGACTTGTCCGGTCTCTGTAACAAACCACAGATGACACCGTCTACACAGTTGCTCCAACAGAAGAACATCTTGAGAAAAACGGCCGAGGGCGGAGTCGCCACCCCCACCCCAGGGTCAGGGTCACGTTCACACAGCTCGTTTCTTCCTCGGCTGCTCCCCCAGGACGTGGGAGGGGGCTGGGGCACGTCTCCCGAATGCCACAACATGGGCCATCCTGGGTCCGTCTTCGGCATCTTTTCAGATGCCCCAGCTGTTAACGTGGTGTTATCAATCAGATAATTAATATTCACGCGTGGTTACTGCATACCAATTACTGAAGTATGACTGCACAAAAGGTACGTTTTTATCAAAAACAAACCCCAAATATTTGTGAAAGAACACCGAATTCAAAGCATTAAGCCTGCTGAACACCCGCACAGTCTCTGGTCCTAGAAAGGCTAACTCCTGACAGGTCTGAGTCCCTGGTTCTACGGCAGCACCAACAAATCACACTCCTGGAAACCTCAGCAAGGGCCCCACGTGGGCGCCGTGGACACTGAGGAGCTGTCATGACCAGGCAGCACATCCAAACATACGTGGCGTGGCCTGGATACCACGGTGTGTGGAGAGCGCCCAGAGCTCCAGTGGGGACCCATTTACAGAGGAGAAGGATCCCACAGTGAGGACAGCAAAGGGGCTGCTCATACCGGATGACCAGAGGGAGCTCTGAGCACTTTGGCCACGTGCACGGTGACCTCGTTCCTGCAGTCTAGAACAGGAATCAAAAGCAGCCTGGCCGCACCAGCCCCCAGCTCCAGGGCACGGCAGAGAGGAGGGGCCTGTGACTGAGGTGACCCTGTCGAAGGGCTCTCACAGGACCCCTGATGAGGAAGGGGGAAAAGACTAGATGTTTGTTTTCCTGGTCCTAAAACACAGCCTGGTCAATTGTGGAAAGAGGTTCTCTAGGAATCAAAGTCTCCTTGGTTTCACCATGTTCTACCAGCTCACTCCCAGCCTGTGATTTACTCATTAAAAATATTTATTTTTCAGGGGCGCCTGGGGGGCTCAGTCAGTGAAGCGTCTGCCTTCAACTCAGGTCGTGATCTCATCAGGGTCCTGGGACTGAGTCCCACATTGGGCGCCCTGCTCAGTGTGGAGTCTGCTTCTCCCTCTGCTTCTGCCCTTCCCCCCATTCGTGCTCGCTCTCTCAAATAAATAAAATCTTTAAAAATAAATAAATACTTATTTCCTATAATGAAAGCAGAAATTAACAAGTGGGACTACATCAAACTAAAAAACTTTTATACAGTAAACCATCAACAAATAATACATTCAACAGAGAATGAACATCCAAAATACATTTAAAAACTCATATACAGCTCAATATAAAAAACAATCCAATGAGCAGAAAACCTGGACATTTTTCCAAAAAATACACAGAAATGGCCAAAAGACATCTGAAAAAATGCTCAACATCGCTCGGCATCAGGGAAATCCAAATCAAAACCTCAATGAGATCCCACCTCACACCAGTCAGAATGGCTAAAATTAACAAGTCAGGAAACGACAGATGTTGGCGGGGATGCGGAGAAAGGGGAACCCTCCTACACTGTTGGTGGGAATGCAAGCTGGTGCAGCCACTTTGGAAAACAGTATGGAGGTTCCTCAAAAAGTTGAAAATAGAGCTACCATATGATCCAGCAATTGCACTCCTGAGTATTTACCCCAAAGAAAATTGAAATACAGATTCAAAGGGATACAAGCACCCTGATGTTTACTGCAGCATTATGTACAGTAGCCAAACTGTGGAAAGAGCCCAGATGTCCGATGACAGATGAATGGATAAAGAAGATGTGGTCCATATGTACAATGGAATACTACTCAGTCATTAAAGAATGAAATCTTGCCCTTTCTGACAACATGGATGGACCTCGAGGGTATTACACTAAGTGAAAGAAGTCAGACAGAAACAGACCGATACCATGTCATCGCCCTTATATGCGGAATCTAAAAAACCAAACCAAACAAATGAACAAAACAGACTCACAGAAACACAGAACAAACTGGCTGGTGGTCGGGGCGGGGGGGGGCTGGGGGGCAGACAAAATAGACCAAGGGGATGAAGAGGTGCCAACACCCAGGCATTAGGACGCCGCCGCAGAAGGGGCAGTCAGGAAACCGTGACAACTCTGTGCGGTGACACACGGGAACTAGGCCCACGGTGGCCACGGTTTCGGGACGGATGCAAGTGTTGAATCACCATGTTGTACACCGGAAACTAGTACAGTTTTGCGTGTCAGTTAGTCTTCAATAAAATAATCTATTCCCTGATTTCCTCGTTAACTTCCACAGAAAGGATGAAAGTGTTGTAATGGTGGCAGGGCTTTAATCACAGGCACAATAAGACGCCTTCAGCAAGGGGCCTCCAAACGCTTCCGACAAGTCCCAGAGAAGCAGATAGTACTGTGAACGGTGCTAACGGCAGCTTTTGTCAAGATTAAAACGTGGAGCCATTGTAACTTCTTACATCAAGGAATGCAAGTCCTGGGTCGGCTTGGTGGTTGGACCCTACTTTCCAAGTACAGAGGTCCCTTTACCTTACCTACCAACAGAGCTTCAAAACAGACAAAGCAAAGCTGGACGGAGCGTGAAGACAAATTCACTGTTCTACTTAGAGATGTCAACATCCCCCCTCACGGTGACCGAGGACAAGGAGGAAGCAGGTCAAGGCTACAGGAGATCTGAACGACCTTCGTGGGACCCTCCACCAACACCAGGAATGCCAAGTCCATCACTAAAAACCTTTCCCAAAAGACCCAGGTGGTTTCACTGGTGAATTTTAATAAATATTTAAGGAAAAAATAAATACTAGCTCTAGGAAACCTCTTCCAGAAATTAAGAAGAGGAAGGAACATGTCCCAACTCATTTTATGAGGCCAAAACTAGACAATACAAAAAACCCCTCCAGATTAACATCCTTCATGAACCCAGAGGCAAAAATGCTCAACAAAATACGGGCAAATTGAATCCAACAATACGTAAAAATGGTAAGACATCATGACTGCCCGGGGCTTTCCCTGGCACACAACATAGAGTCCACAACCAAAAATCAACCTAATACACCATGTTAGCTGAGTAAACAAGAAAAAGCGCATCACCTTATCAATAGGTGAAGAAAAATCATAACAAACTCAAACATCCATTCATGATAGAAAGTCTTCGCAAACTAAGACTGGGAAGGGAACCTCAGCCCCAGGGCCTTCGCACGAGCACCTGACAGACGGAAGCTCCGGCCCGGCCCTCGGACTGGGAACCCGGCCTGCCCAACCACGTCCAGGAAGTCCAGCCTGTGCAAGAGGCAAGAAACGGAAATCAAAGGTATTCATATTGGAAAGAAAAGAAAACCCTATTCACAGATGATATAACTGTGTCTGTAGAAAATCCCAAAGAAGGGCTCATCGGGTTAAAAAGCAAGGTTAGCAAGGGTCACAGCACAAGGTGAACCTGTGAACGTGGACCGTGTTTCTACACACGAGCCACGAACAACTGGAGAACAAAAGGTTTGAAAAGTACCTTTTACAACAGCTCCCTGAAAAATGAAATGTTTAGGTATCAACCTAACATGTTTTTAGGATCTGAACGCTGATAGTTACAACACATTTAAGAGACAGAAACACATGAAAGGACATGCAAGTTCCCAGATGGGAAGGTTCGATGCAGCTAAATTCAAACATAGTTACAGTTACGTGGCCAAGATGTCAATCCTTGCCTAAAACCTTTATGATAGCTTCACTGAAATGTAACTCACATACCATAAAATTTATCCTCTGAAAATGTACAATTCAACGGTTTAGAATATATTCACAGAATGCAACGACCACCACTCCGTAATTCGTGTTTTCGTCACCCCCAAACCGCCCCCCCGCCCCGCCCCTCCCCACCACACCCCCAGCCCCAGGCAACCACTAATTTGTTTTCTGCCTCAATGGTTCTGCGGCTCTGGACACCCCATGTAAATAGGGCCCTACAAGGAGGGGACAGAGGCTCATCCACACTGCAGCACTTGGCAGTCTTTTAGTCCTTTACTGCCAAATAAGCCCATTTATGGATATACCATATTTTATTTACCCGTTCATTAAGTCATTGACATTTGGGTTATTTCCACTTTCAGGCTACAATGAGTATCAGTGGCAGGAAAGTTTTATGTGGAACTGTGGGTAAGAACGGCCAGGCCATTTTCCAAACCAGTCGGACGCTGTACCTCCCGGTTCCTCCCACGTCCCAACCAACCAACCAGCAAGATTCTAAAATTTATGTTCAAAGACAGAGGAACTAGAACAGCCAGATAATCTGAAGGCAGGAAAAAACCGGAGCATCCCCACTCCTGATACGAAGCTGTGATCTCCCCCATGCTGCCTGGTCAGCAGAACAGAAGGAGAATCCAGACATACACGCACGTTGCGGAGTGACTTCTGACATCGGTCCGAGGACGATCCTCCAGCACGTGCCGGAATAACGGTATCAACGTGCACACAGACAGTCCTCGACCTAACCCTCAGACCGAAAAGAAAATTACCTCAAAATGGATCCCAGACCTAAACGTAGGAGGTAAAACGACACAAAATCCATTAAAATGAGAAAATCTGCTTGTGCAAAGGCCACCATCTCCACAGAGCGGGCTCTGCACAGACGGGGAGGCGAGACGCTGCAACTCAAAAGCGGGCAAGGGCTTTAAAGGACACTTCACCGAAGAAGACACGGACGCCACTCGGCACCTGGCACCACGCTAGCGGAGAGCCGCCGCAGCGACGGGACTCCCACGGTTTGCCGAAGGGGAAGTAAGCTGGGGCGGCCGCTCGACATTCACGTCGTGGGACCCCCCGCCCCGCCAGGGATTCACCCCAGAGGAACTGCTTAGGAGCGGCCGTCGTCAAACACCGGAGACAACCCAGAGACGCTGCTGAGGCACGTCCGCTTCCGGGAGGGATCTCAGGTCCTCCGGGAGGTGACACACCGTGGGCTTCGGCCACGCACCCGGGAGCGGCACTCCGCACAAAGCAGCCAGGCCGGGCCTGCCGGCAGCCGGGCCGCAGCGCGCACGGCGGCTGTGGGCTCTGTTAACGCCGGCGGTCCCGTGGGTCACGAGAGTCTGCCCACGCGTGAAACCTCAGATGACAGCCTGCCAACAAAGGGCAGATTTTGCTGCACGTAAATTAAAAAATAATTCAGAAAACCTTTCATTGTAAAAAAGGTGAGGCAAATCACAAACGCAACCATCTCAATTTTATATAAAAGAGAAGAAACTGCGCATTCCAGAAAAAAAGCCTATCAAACTACGCAGTCAGGAAAACTACGTCATTTTAACCGGGTCCAAACCGAGCAAAGAGATTTCCCGTCCCAAGCACGCACGGAACGTGACCTCACGGCAAGGTCACGTGTGTCACGCGAGTGCTGGCGTGTGGGGCCCGCGCAGACACGTGGCTGGAGGGCTAGGCCGCTGCGGCACGCCCGGGAGCCCCGCCCACAGACGCGCGGGAGCCCCGCCCACAGCCCAGCGGGAGCCCCGCCCACAGCCCAGCGGGAGCCCCGCCCACGCCCGCGGCCGCACAGAGGCGCGTACGTACAGTCCACACACCGCGCTTCAGCAGGTGCTGCTTCAGGGACGCCTCCAGCTGCGACACCGCCCGGCGCAGGTCCGCCTTCTCCTGCGTCACCGTGCGCAGGGCTCTCGTCAGGGAGTCGTTGTCTTTCAGGAGCACGTCCACCAGCTGGGTCTGCAGCTCTGCTGTCACCTTTTTCTTGACAAGGAGAAAACAGAAATAAAGGTACACAAATTTGTTTGTTAAAACGCATACACATGCGGGGCCCGGGTGGCTCGGTCGGTGATGCGTCTGCCTTCGGCTCAGGTCATGATCCCGGGGTCCTGGGATCGAGCCCCGCATCGGGCTCCCTGCTCAGGGGGGAGTCTGCTGCTTCCCCTGCTCTCTCTCTCTGACAAATAAATAAAATCTTTGTTAAAAAAAAGATACACCTGGGGCGCCTGGGTGGCTCAGTAGGTTAAGCGACTGCCTTCGGCTCAGGTCGTGATCCCGGGGTCCTGGGATCGAGCCCCACATCGGGCTCCCGGCTCGGCGGGGAGCCTGCTTCTCCCTCTGACCCTCCCCCCTCTCATGCTGTTTCTCTCCTGCTCACTCTCTAATAAATAAATAAATAAATAATCTTAAAAAAAAAAAGATACACCTGTTATTTGTGTTTTTTACTGTTGGCTGCTTTCAAGAATTCTAAATTTTACACGCATTTGGAGTTCAGTGGGAGCTCGTGGGGCTGGGAAGAGCTGTAAGTGGGAAGTCATCAACTCCCGTTTCCATCCACGCCCCTCCCCGCGAGCGAGACCCCGCCCAGCGCTGGCGGCACGAACGAAGCCCCCGTCACAGCACACAGCCGCTCCGACGAGCAGGGGCACCGTGTGCTCGTCCCCGAGGGCCCGGCACACAAGTCCCTTAGGCAGTCCATCATCTCCGCAATCGGGAGCTCAGCCTACAGCTGGCCTGGGACACGGACGGAGGCCCGGCCTGCCAGGACAGCACGCCCCACCCGGACCGTCTCGCTCCGGCTTGTACACGCGTGCTGCTCTCACACCAAACGGCGAGACTGCACAACCACCAAGAACAGCTCCCAGGACCTGTGTCGACAACCAGGACTTCCAAACACCTTCGGGCGCGGCCGACAGGGAGCTCAGAATTTGCCAGAAGGCCCGCGGGAGCTCACTTCTGGCTCAGGCTCTCAACCAGCTGCACACAGAGCAGGCTGGGTCAGCAGCAGGCCCCCCTCCCCCCCAACCAGGGCACCTGCCCTGAGCACCACGGCCCAGTGCCCGCTGGAGAGCGCACCGGGCGCTCGGCAAGGTCACGCCCAGGGCGGGCCATCAGACAGGGGAGGTGGCAGGGAGGGGTAAACAAGGAACCACGCGGGGGGGGGGGGGGGGGGGGCCCCACCCCTCACCTGGGAGGAGCTGGGCGCGCTCAGGTCAGACTTGAGCTCCTCTAACGTGCGCAGTAAGGAGCTCACTGCTTTCTCACTCGATGATGTCCAATCACTAATTGTCCTGTGAACATAAAAAGACACTGAAAAGCTCGTGCAGATCCCCACGGACAGCTACCCACGGCCACTGGGAACTCTGTGGGAGAAACGACAAATGGGGTCCAACGCAGCCCCCAGGAGGACGTGCTTATGACTGCTTCCTCCAGCCATGCTCTGCCCACGAGAGGCGGGGGCTCGGAGCCACTCCACCGACAGCGGGGGCCAGGACGTGACGCGGCCCTCGCGCCGACAGTCCACGAGGCCCCGAGACGTCGGCCGCTGGCCACAGACTCCGGAGGCTCCGAGCGCTGCTCTCCACTGGGGTCTGTGTCTGGTGTGAAGCACTGTCCGGAAGGAAGGTCCGCTCAGAGACACCACTGCCCTACGGACTGAACCAGTTACAGACGGGAGAACCGTACTTGCAGAATGTCGTGCAGACGGGGAAAGGGCGAGTATTAGTTTTCCTGTTCACAGAAACCCTCCTGTCGGTCCCTCAGCCACGGAGGTGCACCCTGGCTGTGTGAGCAGCGGTCCTGGGGGCCGCGGGCAAGGCGGACACCGTGTGGACGTGTCGTGCCACTCAGCCTTGACGGGCCCAGGCAGGACGGGCCTGGCATCTGGCCAGAACTCTGGGTGGTGAGCAATTGTAAAGGGGCACGAGGAGAACAGATCTAAAAGAAACTTGGACTTTTCTCTCCTACTTAGAATGCAAAAAAATACAATTCTGTCAACATCTTTCAGGAGAGCGCTGCCCAGAAATTCACCCAGCACGTGGGAAGAGACCATCTGCTGCACTACAACGGGGGCCTGAAATCAAAGCCACGCCCCAAAGGTGCACGTGTTCCCCAACACACGGGCTCCGATGGCAGGGGGAGCAGCCAGCCCCGAGGGGCTCACCTGTCCACCATCTGGCTGACGAAGCTGGTCAGGAGCCCAGCTGCACACAGCAGCTGCTGCCGGACCTTCTCCAGGCTGTGCCGTTCCTCCTGCAGCCGCTCGGCCTCTGGGGACTGGCGAGCGGCCGCCTTCGCCTCCAGGGCCTGGACCGTCCGCTGAAGCTGCCGGATCTTGTGCTCATCTCGCTGATGCTGCAACTCCAACTCCCGCTGTTGTCAACGGCAAAACAACAGAAAGTCCTTCACACACCTGTTCCAAAAGCAGAAGCCTGAAGCCCAGCCATCACTACGGGCGGCCCCGGCCGGCACGGGGTCCTGGGCGGGGGCTGCACCGCACACCAGCACCCTCCACCGGGCGCAGAGACCCAGGCAGAACCAAGCTCCGGTGGCGCCAGAGGTGAAGGCCTATCGTCCGTCTCTGAGCACGATCAGGCTTTTACCCGCCTGCGCAGGGGAGGCTGGACACTGAAACAGGAGTGTTCACAGGCCCAAGTTCCGGCTTCCGGCCTCGGCACGCATGCACACACACGCCAACGCACACCAACACGCGGACACGGACAAGCACAGAGGAACGTGCATGTGCACCAGGTGGAAATGGCCTCATTTGCAAAACGCCCTTCACCACGTGTGCCGGGCGTGTGCTGGGTTCCTGGGAGAAATCGGAGAAACGGCCACCGGGTCCCTGCGCCCCCACCAGGGCGACAGAGTGGATGACCCGGCGGAAACCTCTCTGGGCAGCCACTTAGAGCAGCTTCCACAGGTGAGGAGGCCTCAGGAAGGGCAGGAAGAGGCGCCGTGTCCGGGAGAACCTGGGACACCCGGAACCCAGCCTGGGTCTCTCGCCGTGCGGTCCCACATAGCACATCATCTCGATCAACGCTCCAGCCTCGTGAGGACGCAGGGATTGTTACTTAGCTATTTTCCAGGTTAGGAAAGCGAGATACCGAGGGACCTACAGGTTTATTTTGTGTAGAGAAGATGAAATTGACCCTGAAACAACTATCTTGGGAGGCCACTGTGCTCAGAAAAAGAGTCCATAATCCAAAACAAATTAACCGTCTACAGTGACCGTAACACCAAAAGGGCTGCATCCATTACTTAAAACTCCATCCCAAGATGCATCATGAAGAACAACTATTAAAACTTGGAAAACATTTTCTTTGCATTTTTTAAGCAATCACATTACCACTTGTTTTTTTAAAAAAACCAAAGTTAAAGGGCTCGGCTGAAAACTTTGGAGATGGTTTGCGGAAGTCCTCAAGAAGCACATGAAGGCTGCAGACACTCTTCCCCGGGAGAAAAGGCAAACACACACACACACACACACGTACAAAAGCCTGCACACATTTGGGGGTTCCGCATCAGCAAGGCGCACCCTGGGGCCTGACTCTACTCGCCCCCTTCACAAAACAGCACAGGGTACCTCCGGGCCACGCAGCACCCGCTCCCTGCAACACCTCCAAACTACTCCACAGCACAACACACACGTGCCTTGAAAACACCAGGAAAGGAGCCAGACAGGAGAGGCCACGCACCGCCGGATCCCTTCAGGGGAAATGTCCACAACAGACCAATCCACAGACAGAAGGGAGACTCGTGGTGGCCAGGGCTGAGCGCTAACGGTGTGGGCTCCGTGTGGGGCGAAGAACATGTTGTAACGTGGGTGTGGCGATGGGCACACGACCCTGAAGGTACTGAAAACCACTGACGTGTGCAACTTAAGTTGGTGAACGCAAGTACGTGACTATCTCAGCAAAGCTGTTCAAACCCACTGAACACACCGCTGACATGAACTTCCAAAACTAAGTAATTTCATAGCATTTTGGGAGCCGACTTATCTTTGTAACACTTAGAAATCTAGAGTTTTGTTTTTAGAAACACATACTCATTTCTCAAATATTTCATGGCAGGCTAACCACTGAAAAGTCCACGCTACTGGTTTTCCTCGTGTGTTTTTAAAAACTTACTTGGATTTTCACAAATTTTTAAAAATTGTGTTTAAAAATATTTTTTTTTTT